GAGGAGCCTTAGTGTCCTTGAGACGAGCTCTAGTCTCCTTCAGTAGAGAAAGCTTCGGTACGGGCAAACTCAGCCGCCATTTTCCACGTCTCTTCCTGGGTTCTGTGTTCACCATCCAAGAAAGAGGGACCCATTATTAAATTTTAGTGGCGATGAAAATCAAGCAGCCATTAGTTTACAATAGGTGGTTTCAACGTTTGTTCAGCGAGACATGTTGTTTACAATGACTAACACTTTTTTGTCAATGTGAACAAAAAAGAACAAAAAAAATTCACCACTGGTAACGCACTCAGAGAACATAGTTCACAGAGTAAAGCCCCTTGCACCCACCTGGGAGGAGATGGAAATTCTTGATATAGATGAGGCCTTCACTTATTTTAGGCCGGTGTTAATTATGAGTGAAAATAATTTTATGTAAAAAAGGTGACACCCGAATCGCACTATTTTTTCTAGAATTTGCTACTCCGGGGAATTTGCTAAAACTTGCCCCTGCTAGCCCCCAAAAAGAATCATACGATGGCTATAGACCAACTCAACTCACTGACGTCACGCCACTGTGGTTGCGCTGCTGTCGATACTGCGCATGCGCAGACGCCTCACTCCTCCGGAATTTGATTTCTGCGCAAGCGCACTGCCCACACCTGGTGTGGGCAAAGCCGGCTTTTTATTCTTTATTCAATGATTACCCCGCAGTGCCCGAGGGCGTTACAGCAGGGGGGGGGGGGGGTTACAAGGATGAAAAGAACACGTCTTCATTGAAACAGCACACTTGCTCTTCAGACAGCCGATTCCACTGTGCAATTGTTCATACAAAAAAGGAGTTTGCAAACATGCATGTCCTAGTTGTTTGGAAACACTGTGTTGGTGTATTACGACTAAAGTTCCGAGTTTCTTTAATGTTTATTCTTCCAATTCGCTGTGTGTGTGTGTGTGTGTGTGTGTGTGTTTTGGGGGTTTATTTTAATGCATTAGCATTAGTGCCCTAGTACGTGCGCTGACCTTGGACTGGTTTGGACTGCATTATATGATGTTTGCAACATCGGCACGGGGTGACGCCACAGCCCCCCTGGGTGTGGAAACTGGCATGGAAACACTTTCTGCAAGTGCTGACAGATGGCGGCGGGGTGCATGTTTCGAAAAGCTTGGCTATAGGACGAATAACAAGTGAGGCCACACTGGACTGGCTGGTTAGAGGGAGCGACGCGTGACATAACACCTAGCAACCGAACATCGTCGGCGAGGTCCCGCGTCGCCAATTTCTGCGCCGCGCAGTGGGGGACAGTGGGTGTATCACTGGGGCGCGTGGTAAACGCCCCCTCCCCCCCGAGAACACGGAACTATTTTTATGACTCATCATGGACCCGGTCGTCAAAACCGCACAATCCATTCTTGCGTTTAAATAAAGGGAATAAGGTAAGCTCGTTTGGTAAATTTGGACTCTTTTATCGTTAAATAGCGTGAACCTTATCATTCTTTTTTTTTTTACTTTAGTAATTTAGTTTGGTAAGTGCAATAAAACAGAAGGATAAAACCTGCAAATACATCCTAATAGGTGAGGATATACCTTCTGATTTATTCGATTTATGAAGACCATACATTTTGTTCATATTACATTGTTCCACCGCTCGAAAGTTTTGGAGACTGGGCCCGTGATGCTCTGAACGGTAGGTGAAAGTCACTCTTGTTAAATCCTTTTTTGTAGTTCTTTTTTATTGCTTTTGTGTTGGAAGTACCTTGTATTATTGTATAATTTCTTGTGTTTTTTTTATTATACTTTTCTTACCCCTGTTTTGTACTTGAGGGGGGGCTGAGGACCAGTCAAGCTACACACAGATATTTACCCTCAGTTCGCACCATACTTACATCGTAAATAAACTATTTTTATTATTATAAACTACAAGCTACACTTCATATCCTTAACTTACAGCGGCCATACCACCGCCCATCCATAGCTCTTCAATTATTATAACACTGAGCTCTGGTCCAAACTTTGAAAAAAAAAGCAAGGGGATGAAGTCAACTTGCCATTCCCCGACCCGCCCTCCGTGTTGATTGCCTCGGTGTCTTGCGAAGGCAGACCTACGGTCGATCTTCTGCAAACAATTCAGCCGTCAGTATGTCAGGAAACAAACACGGTACCCTGATAGCGTCCGAGCGAACACTACGCAATTTAAATAATTGCCCTCTGACAGTGCGCTCATTTTATTATATTTCTAGGACTATGCTGACGCCCCTGAATAAAAAATGGTCATGACATCTCCTTTACCCTCCGGTGCGCAGTTTTTTTTTTTTTTTTTTCATTTTTTTTGTATTGTGATTGTCCCAGAACGATAGGTGGCATATCTACACATATTTTCTTCTGAAGTCAGAGCGCACTAGAAGGCTAAAAAAACATGCAAATGCATACAGACAGACTATTCATACCAAATAATGACCAAACTCTCTACATATACGGCTCAGCCGGTACCCTGCTGTGCTGCCATCGTGCGGCGTGCGATGGTACCAAACGCAGGATCTAGAAGGGCGTCCTGCATGAGCACGCGGAGTGCGAGACTTTCTAGTGACCCATGCGCCACACTTCAATGCACAAAAATACGAGAAAGACGCTTCACCCCACGCCTCTTTGAGCAGAAATGCACCGGTACCTTACCGGTACCCTTGCCACAGTGCTACTTTTTTGTCATGAAGCGGCAGCACGTGTAACTACCCAAGAAGGCGGAGCGCTCGGTACACCCACAGCCATATATGTAGAGAGTTTGGTCGCTAATTGGTAAGAATAGGGCGAAAATAAGGGCGCGCTATCAGCCGAAATCGTTTTAGTGACCTTGGGCGCGTTCATTGACAGCTCTTCTGACCAACCACTAGAAACAAATATTTCCTTAGCGGAGGCAATGAGCTTAACAAATACCCTCCAATCACAATTGCTAAGTTAGGGTGTATTGAAGTATTTCGTTCCAGCACGCTAGAGTTGAAATTTGCGACTCATTCTTTGTAACTGAAAGGGCAACGTACGTGACGTTGTCGCCATGGGGACGCACTCAACCTTTCATTTGACTGCACTCGAGGCCGCGGCCACCACGGTGTGGACGGTAAAATCTACAGATTATTCGGCTCCGTGGGAGTTCTTGACTCGAACCTCGAACGGCGCACCCCACATTCGCAGTTTCGCATTGTGTTTCAGGACCTTTCTTTCGTCAGTGTCACCCTTCTTGGGTCAGTAAACACACTCAGCACCTTGAAACTCCCCTTTTCCATAAGTCTCTTAAAATTATACATTAATGTACTTTCAGCCTCGTTCAGAACCAAAAAAATATCTGCGCCGCGCTACGTGAATCCTTCAAGGTCATCCCAGATCATTCATACTTCGCAAGATCATCACAGGGGAATATGCGGCGCTGGCGGTGGCGTGGATTTCCCGTTCCACCCCGGCTGCCGCCGACTCCTCCCATTGACCAGACTCTCTCTACATATGGCTCTGGGTAAACCTACCCCTTCAGCCACCATACTGAGGGGAAAGAAACGCTGCTCGTTTTTGTAGAATTTTTGCTGCGGCTGTCACTGCGCGGAGAAAAATGCCAACGCGTGTTTCATGGGTTATGAATGTCAATTCTAAGCGGTATTTACGAAAAGGAGACAAATTTTTGCACGCTCCTTTAAGCTGCCCGTGACTTTAGTATGCTCCTATTTAAATTCCATCGGATCCCCAAGCCCAAAGCGCGCGCCTCAAGTGTTTCATTTTGTTTCCTCAGCAAGCTCTCGCATGACGGAAAGTTTCCAGACCAGAAACATCAAAGGAGCGCAAACATTCGTATGAGGAGTTTTGTAGAGTCCTGGATTCTAGCAGAAAGGAAAACGCACCCTTGTTTCATGGGGACTTAAAGGGGTTATGACACGCCAAAAATAAAATGTGAGATAACTATACTGCTAGAAACCATTGTATATTGTTATAATCCTGCTAAATTTGTAATGAAAATGGCGCGATAGTTTTGTGGATAAATCAATTTGTATGCGGGCCCCTCGGAGGGGCGGATCTGAGCGGAGCTAGAGGCTTGCTACGTAGGCAGCCTCCAGCGCGGTGTCTCGTTGCACGCACTCACAGACTTGGCTCTCTTGGTGTCTCAAGCCTCAGCTTCCTCGTTTACCTTCCACGTTTCGAGCATGCGGTCCGTTACGATTACGTCTACTGCATCGCTCGCCTTGTCAAAGGGTTCGACATTGATCGCACCAGCGATGAGAGTGATTGGTAAGAGCTGTTGGAAGCTGTGCATTTTGACTGCGAACCGCTGCGACCAGCTCCAGTGACGACGAGTTACGGACGAACACGCCGTGGTCACTGTCGTCCGGGAATATTTCACAGGCGCATGCAGGGTGGAAGGTCAACGGGCAGGGGGCGAGAGCGAGAATAACGCTTGGGTTGCCGAGTTGCGTGAGCGGTTTTGATCGTACCGCGGCGAGGAGAGCTTGGGCGATCATGGGGGCGCCTAGAATGAAAGAGCGTTCATAGTCACGTGGTTTATGGACGCCATGGTGTGACTAACTTGGGCAGTGTTGCCTGGTCGGCAGATGAAAACGATAAAAATTTGTAAATTGAATATTGCAATTACCAGAGCTCCAAAAATCGCGTAACTTAGTGTATATACTAAGTAGCCTATGAGCATTCCATTTCAAGAATAATCCATATGGTTAATTTTCATGTCATAACCCCTTTAAACAAGAAGGCCTTCTGGGCAAACTTCTTCAAGCCACTGGCCAACCAGCGCACGCTGAAAGACACGCGCAGTCTAAATCGCGAGCTGATTCGCCGATCATTTAAGAGAGTTTATATGGACGTCTTTTTGTTGTCCGAAAAAATAGGAGCCTGAGCAAATACGCGACGACAGTTTTTGTCTGTTTCCACTTCATTGTTTACCTTTTTGTGTGAAATATGATGTTAGGCCTTTTTTAAGCAGCCTGGGCTAAAATATTAAACACGAGTTGAAGTATTTTCAAAATGTCTGCAGGTTAATTATTCGTGCATCTTGCCCACTTTCTGAGGACGCGGCTGCTAGCTTGCGCAGGAGCAAGCGCCGAGGCCGAGTCCTCCAGTACCTTTGGTCCAGGCTCGGCTCACTCAACTACTTGGAACTCCCGCTCTGAAGCTTCGCATTCGGTGTCGCTCCTTATAAGAAAACAATCGTGACAGGAAGAAATGTAAAACAACTGCCTATTCATACCGAAAAAAAAAAATCAAAGCAACCCCCCCCCCCCCCCCCCCCCTCCGTTTTAGGGTTCGACAACGGAAGTTTCAGGAACTTTGGCTGAATAGCTCCCCTAAAGCACAACAAAAACAGGCATATTACGACTTTGCTTTCAATTTGGGTTAAATCAATTGTTGCGGGGTTATTGAACTGAGTGAAAGTGTTACTCATTTTGATTTCCGATTAGACATAAGAAAGCAATGCAACTGAAATTTTTCGGAGGCGCGCAGGTCAAACTGGTGAACATTGGACGTCGAGAATTCGAGAGTGAGTAGCGCATAAGAAATGAAGCACAAACCGAGCGCCGATTTTGTTCTTGATTCATGAATGGCCAGGTAAAAAAGTTTACGATACTAAGTGAAACTACTTTTTTTTTTTTGAGGTGAGCGCATTGATACGGTGTAAAAACGTAAGAAATAATTGGAAAGACGGCACATGGACAGCACACTGGCCAGCACACGGACACACTCAGTACAAGTAGTTTCCTGTTTTCTTTCTACGTTCCACAAGTCTGCTATGGTGTCAAAAATACAGCTAATTATGTCTGTAGAATCATCCCGAAATTGTTGAGAATGTCTCAATGCTTAGGAAAAAAAGAGAACATAGCTCAGTAAGCTGTTTTGTAGGCACAGGCACTCGAGTAATAGGGCACCTTTTCAGGCTGCGCACCTCTAACGTGCCTTTCATAACACTGTAGAGCAGTCCTGAAATGACTTGTAATACTAAATCATATGCAGACAATAAAATGTTCAGCCCGATTCCATGTTGGCATGGCACATTCACTACTTAGCTCCCACATACCCCTCTGTATCAGAAGCATTGTAGGTCGAGGGTTCCGGTTTCTTTGAGAGCAGAGGAGCTTTAGTGTCCTTGGGACGAGCTCCAGTCTCCTTCAGTGGAGAAAGCTTCGGTACGGGCAAACTCGGCCGCGATTTTCCAAGTCTCTTCCTGGGTTCTGTGTTCACCATCCAAGAAAGAGGGACCCATTATTAAATTTTACTGGCAATGAAAATCAAGCAGCCGTTAGTTTACACTAGGAGGTTTCAACGTTTGTTCAGCGGGACATGTTGTTTACAAAGACTAACACTTTTCAATGTGAACAAAACGAAGGAAAAAAATTTACCACTGGTAACGCACTCAGAGAACATAGTTCACAGAGTAAAGCCCCTTGCACCCACCTGGGAGGAGATGAAAATTCTTGATATAGATGAAAGTTTTGAGGTCTAAAAAGATGTTCCCCCACATTATTCGCTGAGCTGATTTGGTTAATCGCAGAGATTGGCTCTTTGAATGTTTTGCAGGTAAGTAGACGCGCAGGCATTTCTTAGAGTGTAGGACGCATAACAAGTGAGGCCACACTTTACCGGCTGGTTAGAGGGAGCGACGCGTGACGTAGCACCTAGCAACCGAAGATCGCCTGCAAGGTCCCCCTTCGTCAATTTCTGCGCCGCGCATTGGGGGACGGCGGGTGTATCGCTGGGGCGCGTGTTAAACGCCCCCTCCCCTCCCCCCCCCCCCCCCGAAAACACGGAACTATTCTTATGACTCATCATGGACCCGGCCGCGAAAACCGCACAATTCATGCTTGCGTTTAAATAAAGGGATTAAGGTAAACTCGTTTGGTAAATTTGGACTCTTTTATCGTTGAATGTCGTGAACCTTATAGTTTTTATTTTTTTACTTTAGTAATTTAGTTTGGTAATGCAATAAAACAAAAGGCTGAAAACTGCAAATACACCACAATCGGTGAGGATATACCTTCTGATTTATTCGATTTATGAAGACCATATATTTTGTTCATATTACATAGTTCCGCCGCTCGAAAGTTTTGGAGACTGGGCCCGTGATGTAAAGCCCTGGCTTTACTTAAGCTATGGCTATTCATTTTTGCGTCATAAGGTTTAAAAAAAATACTCCTGTGAACCCTCAAGTTTATGCCGCTTCACTCTAAGATTTAGCTGCTTCCGGGTACTGAAGAAGCAAGATCTCCGAGTGAAATGTCGGCCGATATCCGAAATTCCCCAATACAACTTTTTTTAATTGTTTATTGCAGCTTTGCTTATTGCTTGCTCAGTTGATCCCATTCTTGGCAGACTAAGGAACTCCTTGCTTAGATGGGTTGTTGAATTAAGGCAATGTCAAGTGTGCCCTGTATGTAATGTGCCTGTGCGCCAAAGGGGACAAGAGCTTCGCAGCCTTGTGTCCTCGTCCACAGCCACTACTTCTTCGGGCGTGTAGGCTGCAAGACCAGGCTTCTTCTCTACATGGTCCAACCACCCCGGTGGTTGCTTTTGCGTGGTTTCACGGTTGCTTTCGTTCACTTTGATGGGTAAAAAGTCATTAGGCTCGATCACGTCTGCAAAGCAGGGGAAGCCACTCTTGTTCAGTTTGCTCTGCAAGGGGAAGAGGTTCAACGGCTGCAGACTTAGCCTGTCACCCCTGAGTGACGAATACATCACTTGCTTCTCGTGGTGCTTGGGAGCGCTGCTCATCCTCTGACAAGTGTCTTTGCAAAAGACCACACTGCCAAACTGTTCACTAACTTTGCTGAGGTCTCTTGGCTTGTACCACTGCCTTTTTGTCTTGGTGTGCAGCAGCACCTGGTACAACACTGAGGTCATGCTGAGGGATGTGCATCAGCCCGTAAAAAACGCAACCAAGGTGCTTGCGGACGGAGCCCTTCCCTGCAGCACACGAGCAGCGGCCAGTGACAATCTCCCCATCGCACCCAACGAGTGCAGCAATGATTTTGTGCAAAGTTCTTGTTCACATCATGGTGAAACTTGAGCACGTACAATGGTCTCTTCAGCCTCCCTCGTTGAAAACTCCAGCTTCTGGTGGCCTGAGGAAAACAGTCGCTGGCCAGCCTCCCTGTGCTTTGTGGATCCTATGGTTTCCATGTACCTGCATTATAAATATTGCAGTCAATGTAATGCATGAATTCACTTTTTTTTAATGGCATCCCAGTTAAAAATACCCATTGGGTCCAGTTGGTTTTTCCAATTGGTACCAGTTGGCATAACCATCTGTGTTTTCGGACTCCCAACTGGAAAAATACCAATTGGTATTTGTCCAATTGGAAATAAACCCACTGGCATTTTACCAACTGGAACCATTACCAGTTGGTACTATTCCAGTTGGAACTGTAACCATCTGTGTTTTCGGACTCCCAACTGGAGAAATACCCATTGTCATTTTTTTTCAATTGGAACCATAACCATCTGTTTTCGGACTCCCAATTATAAAAATACCAATTAGCATTTTCCCTATTGGAAGTGTAACAAGTTGTGTTTAGCTACCATTCATTGGCACAAATCTTGAAGCAAGAACAAGCAATTAGCTTAACTGGACATTCATTGTATCCGCAGGATGCAGAACAGTGAAGAGTATATGTCAAATGAAAGCTTTATTTTGACTAGCAGGATACCTAAATATTACAGATTGAACGTTGAGACCAATGTTTCGCGGAACTTGGATGCAGTTGATGACAGGATATCGCCATCTCATTCATGCTCAGCTCTGCCTCCTGCATGTCGAACATTTGTACCAGTTAAGTTGCATATCTAAGAAGCATTGTGAAAGAATGTAGCAAAGTCTAGACCTACAACAAATTGGTAAACACTTGGCTCACATGACGTCAAAGTTGTATGATGCTCGACGCGTCATTAAGGGGGCAGTACAACAAGCCTTGTACTTTCAGTAAATACAGCTTTTGATTATTCATTGACATTCACAACCTATAAAACACATAGATTTTCTATCCACGCATGGCAGTTGCAGAAGAAAAAAAAAAAAAACTACCAGCGTTTACCTCCTAAACTCGCAGACAGAGTCAGTGACCACATGATCTGAAGCTGATTACATGCCACCAATGTTTATCATACCCACACGCTCTGGTTGGCAAAGCACAGCACACACAATGAATTCTACAGATTGCTAAGGTTCGGCTACTCCTGTCGTCGCAATAACTGAGCACGAGCGGAGCCACTACTTGATTGCATGTCGAGGTATTGTCTTAAGCTAAAATAGAATGCTCAAGCTGTGCTCATGTCCACTGTATGAGCCACACTTAAATATTGTCGCTGTGGGTATCACAAAGCTTTATGGCAAACTCCTGAGGATTGATGTTGTTGACAATGACGACAACACTATCCCCACAACCAAAGGAGAGAATGAAAAGAGGTATTCGCTTCAACTCTTTAAATTATGTGGCAAAAAAAGAAGCTCCTTGGTCAGTGGCATTGAGTGCGAGTATTTCGGGTCCCACTGGTGCCAGTAAGTGTAGAGTGAGAAACATTCAACATAATATTGTTACATGGCCCCTTTAAGTACAGCGTTCCCCCCAAATGTAGCGTCAGCGGTCCGTAACCAGATGCTAAAGTTTCAGAACTAATTTATCAGAACTAATTTATCTCAATTAAAAGTTATCACTGATTTTCAAAGAATATTACAAGAATGGGGCCCATTTTTGGTAACTGGCACCATTCAGCTTCATGTATTCGAGAGCTGTTAGCCACCATTTTTCCACTAAAAATTGACACCTGTCTGTCTATGCTGGAAAAAGCGATGAAGAAACTTCATCGTGACGTCGCCGGTGGGAGGGGCCTAATCTCAATCGGCGGCGAACTCAACTGGCAGGGAACTTCATCGCGGCGCGTTGATGACGTCGACGGAGAGTGGCGATTGAGTTGAAACTTCATCGGGATTTGTCCCCAAATTATGTCCCTAGAGGGAAATGCGCAACGCCGCATCGAAGGGTCTCGTAAAA